GGGCCGGAGCGGCCCCGCCCCCTGGTGGAAGCCCCGCCCCCGAGGGAGACCCCTGGCCCGCGAGACCAAGCCCGGCTCACGGAGACTGCGCAGGGCCCTGAGAGTTAGCCTTGCCCCAGGAGGCGATGCCCCGCCCCTGCGCCAGTCCCACCCTGTGGTCGGCTTGGGGGTCTTGGGGACCCACGCGATCGCCCTAAAATGCGGCCACCAGGCAGAGAGCCCGAGGTCGGCACTCCCTGCGCGCACACTAAGCACGCAGTCCCGATTCGCCTGCAGTCTGATTGGAAGCGGTGCTCCCTGGAGAGGTGCGTCCCCCACACAAGCTTTGCCCTCGGAGGGCCCGCTTCGTCGCAATATGGAGAGGTGTCTTAAGGATCACGTTAAAACCCGCCCCAGGGCGAGCAGAGTCCAGGGCAGCCTGGAGACTTTGGCCCTGCATTTGGGCCGCAGCCTGAGCGCTATCCAAAGAGGCCCGCCAGCTCTCGGCCCCTTGGGGGAAAAAGGGCCTTTGTCCGCTGGCACTGGCTGTGCTGAGCAGCCGCTCCCGTGATCAGGGCATGGGGCGCAGGGTGAGCAGAGCAGACTAGGTTTCAGTCGCTGTTCACCCCAGCCCCTTGTGGAGCTGCAGGTGCCCAGGGCGCACCTGCTCCCCTGAGGCCTAGCTGCCCCTTCACGCCCCCGCTGGGGTCAAACTTGCCTGGCCCCAGGAGCAGGGTTAGGAGGGGCGAGGGGGTGAGGCGGCTGACGATTAGGGCGTGTGGTTTCACTTTCTCCTGCAAATTCAGAGCCACAAGGATGGGGCCATCCCCCCCTTGCCTTTGATTCTGGAGTCTGCACAGGGTAAGCACCACGAAGCTCACAAGGTGTCCTGAGGGCCTCATGTACCAAATCAGTCACAGGAAACATAACTCCATTGATTTGGAATTCCTTACAGCTTCTGGATCAAGGCCTCCTTCAGCCGTGTAGGCCCAGGAGCAGGGCTGGAGGGGGGGCTGGGTCTGGGGTCGGTCAAGGAGGAGCTGCAGAAGAGAGCGAACCGGCCCTCGGAAGAGGGGGTCTCCTGGACCGGAGGTGTGGCTTTTTGGGGCCTCACTGCTGACCTGGCTGGGCTGCTGCAGTGGGGGCTAGGACGGAGAGGAACAAGGCTAGGATGCAGAAGGACGAGGGGTGGGGACAGTGCCAGCTTTGCGCTTTGGACATTTTGCAGTGAGGAGAGCAGGACTGTTGGCATGGGGAGAAATGACCGTGCGTTTGTGGGCTGGTGGCAGGAGAGGAGGGTGTGTTCAGCCAGGTCCTTAGGTGGACGAGGGCTGGGATACAGGGCGTTCATGTCACCAGCCAGAATGTTGGGGCAACCGGAGGGACCAGCAGCAGACTGGGCACCGATGGGGCAGCTGAGCAGACTGCTGGCGGCACGGGCAGAGGCTCTGCGGAGCTCTTCACACTTCCAGCGGCTCAGAGGGAGCAAGCGCGCCAGCCGAGAGGGCAGAAGACCATGGTGCAGGAGGGACGTGTCAGGCCTGCGCGGGGAATGGGCCGGAGCAGGTCAGCGGTATGCCACTGACCTGGGTGTGGCTAGTGGGTGAGGCCACCTGTTCCTCTTGCTCCTCTGCAGGGTGTGGGAGGGGCGGAGGGTGGACTTAACCGTGATGGGGATTGGCCAGCAGATGTGACTGTGACAAGACAGGCCTCCAAGATGGGGGTGGAGCTGAGCCGGGCTGGAGGGGCCAGGGTGGGGGGGTGTTGGGGTCTGAGTAGGGGCGGGTTGAGTCGGGTGAATGTCAAGGGCAGGAGGATGGGCGTGGCGCGAATGGCCAACTGGGAGAGCACCACCCGCAGCCCCAGCTCCTCCTGCAGACCCGTGTTCCTCTAAGGTCTCAGGCTTGTCATTCTCGTTTTGACCAGGATTTTTCTGAAAGCATTGCTGATCGACAGGACTTCCGACTTCAGCCTTTTGTCCCCTGGCAGTGGTGTCTGTCCCATTAGAGGGCAGGCGGCTGGACCGGAGCGGTTTGTGTCCAGGGTCACCAGGCATCTGGTGCAGAGCTTAATGACAGGAAGAATTCAGCACAGGATTAGAACAACATGACCTTGTCCAGATGAATTTAAACCAGGACTCAAATCTGCAGACAACGAAACGGACCATTATATCCTTGGATAGATCCAAGCTCTCGATGGCAGATTCGAGTAGCCACAACAGTTCCTCCCTTCCCAGCAGCTCAGGAGATGCCAACTAGGAAGGGACGAAAATGAAGTCAGAACTGGTAGTAAGAAGAGGCTGTGCAGGCCTGACCTGGTCACTTTCGAAAGCTGTGTCCTTTGGATGTTTGCCCAGCGTTAGCTTCCGGTCACCAGA